TGTTGCAGACATGCCCATGTTTAGATGTAGGGATCCACATCTTCGCAACTTGTATGCTTATCTTGTTTTGGCGTCTTTTTCAACAGTCATTTCTGTGTTTTAGTCTGAAATGCAAAAGCAAACACTGATGTTCTGCACATTTTTCATTATAGAAAGGCAAATTTATCAAATATTTCTTCCGTTTTACTTTTTACCAGGGTTAATTATCCCCCCGGGACTGGGTGGAATCTCCTTGCTAACTGTATCTGTAAAATTGTGTTTTTCATTACTGTATAGTGGCACGCAGACCTGACAAATTATTAATGAGATTCGTGCAGTCCTATGTAAAATGCAACATAGGATAATATTGGAGGCACTGTAACCTGTCCTATGTGAGAGGTTCAGCAGAAGATTCAGGGATTCATTCAGTTTAGGTCAGTCAACGCTTCATTTATAATTCACAGCTCAGGCCTTTATTAATGAGGCTTCATCCATGGGAAAGAAACTTTGCAGGCCTATACTTTGTCTCCAGGCACATTTTGATGATATGATGCCTAATATTCCCTGCCATGTGGAACATTCCCTCAGTATGTGTCTCGAATATTGACTTGGTCCACATCCATTAGCATAGAAGAGCATGTCAAGCCTGTGTGTATCTTTTCATCTGATCAGGTTGCCTTCTCTCTTTGTGTCTTTGTTTCTAGCTTCCTTTTAACCAATAGGTGTGTCACCCAAGAGCGACATTCCGCTACTCTTTCCACTGCCCTTCTCTCTTTCACGTCTCTTCCGACATCAGTTTCTCCTCACAAAGGTCTTCTTTCTTCCATGCGCGATGGAGGCAGCAGCATCTTGAGACGCCCACACTCAGCATCACTGTTTTGGTCGAATCATAAAATTCCCCCAAAGCCGAACAATGGAAAACAATGAGGCACCTGCTAAATAATGAGCCATCAGTCAGCCGTGATGAGCCACGCAGGCATGATGGCTCGCTTTAAAGTGGCCTGTGATGAATGTACAACAACACCTGAAATCCCCTCCAATGGAATTCCCCCTCTCACAAACACACAGTGTGTTCGGCAGTCCAAATATGCCCTTATTTTTCCCCATATTTTCCTTGTGTTGTGAGATCAGAGAGTCACAGGCTTTTGTCTGTGAACTTGAAGGCAGAGCCGTGCTGCAGTTTCACTTGTACTCATCATTGTCACTATCACCATCAGCGGTTTCAGTCCTTGCATGCACCACGTCACATGAATGTGGGGAGAAGCTCTGCCTGGCTGAACAATAGGCCAGCTGTTTGCTCTCGGCTAAGCTTTTAACTACAGCGTACGTGCCGGGAATTACTCCCAAGTACAAGTCTTCTTTCAGTCTTTCTTCCGTTCTCCAAAGGTTAAAATAATCCCATCCTTCAGAATGCTGCCACAAAGCAGCCTCACTTAGCTCAGCCAATGGCCAGAGCAAAGCCAACATCAACATCATGTTCGGCTGTGATGGATATGAAATGAGTTTTGGATGCCAGACAGAGGGTAAGGGGTGATTGACTGTGGGTATTCAGTGTTGTTTAGTTGCCCTTTTCATGCCTTACACTGTAATATCAGCTCTTTCACAGTGGCGACTCTCTCCTAGATTCCCTATAGAGGTGACCCTCGTTGATCCCTGATCCCCAAGCCAGTACTAGGTAGAACCACGGCACAAATGGAAGCTTTGTGGGCTTGAACGTACGCTAGTGCTCAAGGAGTCAAGGGGTCAATGTGGAGGAGAAGGAGGGAGATGGAGAGTGACAAACCTTAGGTTGTTTCCCTGTGGAGTAAAAGGTGTTTCCTTCGATGTTCGAACATGACGGTTGGGAATGAACTTTTTGTATAATTATCCATTTTAGATTCAGAATCGAGCTTTAAAACCCAAATCAAATTGTATTTAGTGTTGTTGTTTTTTTATGTCTGTAGTAGCTTAGGTGTGCAGACGTTGGAGAAATGCCGGATTCCCCTTCAGGAACTCGAAGCTGCGTCGAGATCGCTTTGGGGAATGCCCCTGCGTGACCGCATTCTGAAGCACGTGTGGAGCAGCGAGACGTCACGAGCGGGGTGACGTGAGTGCCAGGAAGTATAAAAGCGCATCTGGCAGAGCACAAGTTAGCTTCTGCTCTTCAGTAACGCTCTGTGTATGTACAGCTCCTAGCATCTGGTCTCTCAACTGAGGTTGTTGAGACTATACTCCAGTCCAGAGCTCCCGCCACTAGGCCGCCACTAGGAAACAGTACGCCTTGAAGAGCGGCGGGCTGGTCCTCTCCGCACACTTTTGTCCGCTTTTACAACCTAGACCTGGCATCTACCCCAGGTTCCCAAGTTCTCTCTTCGTGATGTGCTCGCAAGATACACACACAGGCAGGGACTTGGTAGTATGGCGCAGTGGGTATTCTCGTTCCCAAAGCGATCTCGACGCAGCTCGAGTTCCTGAAGGGGAACGTCTCTAGGTTACGTATGTAACCATGGTTCCCCGAGGGAACGAGACGCTGCGTCTCTTTGCCATACTCCCTGCATCCCTCCAGGTGCTACTTCATCGAAGCTAACTTGCGCTCTGCCGGATGCGCTTTTATACTTCCTGGCGCTCACGTCACCCCGCTCGTGACGTCTCGCTGCTCCATTGGACTGATTTCACACGTGCTTCAGAACACGGTCACGCAGGGGCGTTCCCCAAAGCGATCTCGATGCAACGTCTCTTTCCCTCGGGGAACCATGGTTACATAGGTAACCTAGAGACGTTAATTAACTTTCTGTTCATTGGGCCACTCAAGCAAACTTTCATGTTCCCAAACCTTTTTACACAGGCCTGTAATCCTTCTCTGAGAGTTAACAGGCCTTGTGCAGGTCAATTCTAGGGTCAAAATTTCAACCAGCATTTAAATGTGACATAAAAGCGGGGAGAATGATCAGTTTTAGTTTTGTTTAGATTCTCTCAAGCACACTTAGTTTTTGTCTCACATGCACTCAAAGTGTAAATGCTGCTCCTCAGTAAGTGCAATTAATAAAACACTATGAAAACAGAGTTTCTGTAATAATAAGTTGCATGTTTTTCACATTTTCAGAATAATAAAAAGTATTTTAAAAATATACAATAGCATTTAAAAGTTTGGGGTTGGTACAATTTTTTAAATTATTTTTTGATAGAAGTCTCTTATGCTCACCAAGGCTGTGTTTATTTGATCAAAAATACTGAAAAGAGAGCAATATTGTGAAATATTATTACAATTTAAAATATATTTTTTTCTGTTTTAATATATTTTAAAATGTAATTTATTTCTGTGATGGCAAAGCTGAATTTTCCCAGTCCAGTCTTCATCAGAGTCACATGGTCCTTCAGAATCAGAAATCATTCTAATACTGTATGCTGATTTGATGCTCAAGAAACATTTCTTAGTATTATCAATGCTGAAAGCAATTGTGGAAACTGTGATACATTTTTATTATTATTTGATGTTCAAAAGAAATGTTTGTAACAATGTAAAAGCCTTTACTGTAATTTTATCAATTTAATGCATCATTGCTTAATAAAAGTATTAATCTCTTTCAAGAAATGTAGTGTTATATATAAATTTTTTTTGTTTAAAAAAATCACGCAATTTATTATCACAGAAAGAGTGTTCTGTTGCAGTTGCTGAGGAACAGCATATAGATTTCAAGTGCATGTGAACCAAGTAGAACCATATGTGGACTTCTGAAATTATAAGCATTTTTACCCATAATAATGACCATTTTAATGACAAATCATGCCAAGTATGTCTATATGTTGTTTTGCATTTGATTTAGTTGCCATAAATCTTTTGACACTTGTTAACCTCAGATGGTGTTTACAGATTGTATTGTATGTGTTTTGTCATGTGAGATGGTTTGAGGTGTTTTCTTAACTTGTGTGTGTGGCTTCACGAGTTTGCCTGCAGCATATATATGGTGTCATTAACATTCCAGCAGTCATGGCGGCACCGTTAACACTCCGCTACATGATGAGACAGCTCTGCCTGTACCTCTCAACCTGCTGCACTTTCTTTCCCAAAGTCTCTCGTACTTTTCTCGCACCCGAACACCCACCTACACAAACAAATACATGTATATACATACTAACCTCAATAACTAAGAGACTAAAACCAGAATATTTATTTTTGTTACATGTGGGTGTCAGTTCTGACTCCTATCATTCTTGTGCTGTCATTTTGAGGACTTCTACAAACATGTCATTTTTCACGCCACTTTATCTGCCTTTCTTGACAGATGCAAGACAGGAACACTTCAGGTAATTATCTGTGTTATGCGGTATGTTTTGGAAAGCCTTTGTTTTGCAGTATTGAACTAGGATTCGGCTGAAACGCCCCAGACCGTTGGTAGGTGCGGTGGCCTGGCTCTATTTTAGTGCCGGGTGTTTTGCATCTATACCTCTAGGGCTCAGAAAAGGCAGTACATGTTGATTGTGCTTCCAGGGGACCCACTCAGATGTAATCAGTTGTGCCTACATGTTGTGCAGTGAGAGCCCTTTTGCCTCCGAGCCAAGAATGTACTAAGAATGACAAATATTGAAACCATGGAGTGCAGTCATTACATTTATGTGCGAGGTGTTACCTGGTTTGTATATATAAATATATGCTGATTCTATCATAATTTGTTGATCAATATCTCTGTGTGAGGTTTCAGGCATTGTGCTCTCATTGTCTTAACCAAGCACTTTTTTCAGGCTTTGCAGAACACTGCATAGAACTGCAAGACTGCTCTGCTCCTCTGTCTTGTAATCATAACTTCAAAAAAAAAAAGAAAAAAAAGGTATATTCTTTTAAATGCATGCAACAGTGGGACTGTCGGTGAACAATCTGTGTTATAGTTTTGACACTGTTAAAAGCAACTTCTTCAAAAGGATGCAAAGTAAGAATTTATTTTAAAGTTACAAAATATTTAAGAAAGAATATTTTTATTTTACATAATCTGTACAGAGATGATATCCATTTAACTAAGTGACTTTGTAATAACAGCTAAGTAATAAATCGTATTAAATAGTAGACTGGAAAATTAAAGACAAGGAAGAGATTGTGTTCATCAGTTTTCTGTACATAGTATAAAAAATTAGACAGAGCTACAAATGGAATCCATAATGTTGTACCCTGATTATTAGGCCTCTTGAGAAGTATCAATAATTATTTTACAAATATTGGAATGGCCTTGCCACCTTATTGTAATAGCTAAAATATTGGCCTCTTTGGTACAATTCATTAGGTACAATACATTTTTCACAAAATTCAGTTTTACTACAAAAATATCATTTTCAATGGCAGATGTTTTTTGTTTTTTTTGTCTTTTAACTAATCCCGCAACTTTTCAGTGCAAACATCATAACAATCATCCGCTTTGGAAAGCAAGCGAAAGATCACATTTCAAGTATTGATAAAGAGTTAAAGACAAGCAGAAAGAAGAATTCTGTTTTTTTTTTTTGACATAGTTCAGGATTACTATACATTGCATAGTTCGTGCGGCACTTTATATTAAAAGGACTATGGGCAAGGGTAGGTCCACTTCTATGTACCCTTTTGAAGGCTTTGCAAAATGCAAGTGCTTTAAATTGTGCATTTCGAGAGTTTTCGCAAGTGCTGTACTCCCTGTAAACCAGCTGGACAGAATGGAAGCGGCTCCGCGGAACGCACACCGCTGCGTCAGCCACTGAAGTGTGCAGATGAAGGAAGCGGTGAAGTTTGCGCTGTACCGGTTAGACCTCAAGATCTAGTTATGCAGTCTGCTACAATCAAGATGTGCACATATTAGCAGAATGGCAGAAGTGGTTTTAGTTTCAAGATGATCTTGTCCAGAGGTGCTTACAGTTTGAGTAGAAGCCTCACAACAGATTTAACAATGCCGCAGACAACCGGAGTCATTACTGTGGGAATGCCTCTGGGGAACGACTGGAAAGATGACACTGATTTGGAAATCTCCACATCAGCAGGAATGATTTGTCATATTGTCTTAAACAAGCTGTTGAAGTGCTGGTGTTCTGAAGTAGGAGATATGTCAGTGCTTGTACAACAGTCTCTAAGTACTTATGTCAAAGTGTGATACCAGGTTGTCTCCTTTTTGCTGTTGGAGAGGAAAGTATTGAGACATTTATTTTAAGTCTAGAAATGGCAAACTAGAGAAAAACCTTGTGGTGTTCCCTTTCCCTTACCATCCCAAAGCCTTTTTGTACTAACGTGTGTGTGATTGTTCTTTGTGAGTGCACAAATATTAACACAATCTATATGCATGTGGTTCAAAAAGACCATAAATATGACTGTCACTGCCTTCGTAACATGTCCTAACGTGGATTTTTCCATTCAGGCACAGCCACACTCCTCCACGATCATGTTCGGCACGTCACGCTTGACGATGTTGTATTCATCATCAAAGTAGAGCATGGACATGGTGCTGAGTTTGGTGGGTATGCAGCAGGAGTTGACTGAACCAGGACTCATGCCTCTCATGCGGTACTGGTTTACTACTGCCGTGTGAAATGACGAGGCAGAGCCCGGAACTCCTGCCAAGTAAGCTGGGCAGCTGCCTTCACAGTAGTTCCCATAGTACCCTGCTGGCGCGATGATCCAGTCGTTCCAGCCAATGAGCCGGAAGTCAATGTAAAACTGCTGTCGGCAGCACAAACCACCATGGGTGCCGTCACACTCCAGGCCCCGCTTTCGGATACGGTGTTTCCCGTCTGCCTGCTGGGCGCGGACCACCAGGAAGGGTCGGTGTGAGGGATCGTTTGGGTCCACCAGGATGGGCTGAACGTTGGCAGCCTCGCAGCCATCGCAGTGAATGTCGAGGTCCTGTCGGCGACCCCCTTTTGCCAGCATTTCCCGTACGGCCTCGGACACAGGGAAGGTGTGCCAGCCACTGCGCTTCAACTCCACACGTTTTTCCATCATGGGCCAGTGCACGTTCTGCCCTCCAGGCTCACAGTAGTGCACTCTCACTGTCACCTTCTGCCGCAGTCCTTTCTCCTGAGTACCTGGCAACAGCTTGAAGTACAGCCACAGGTTTGCATGCAACACGTAGAGGTTCTGATTCCCCTCATTGGAAATCAAGAAGTAGAGGCTGGACTTCGATGCAGTCACATCATCTGTAAGAGACCACAGAAGTTTGTTAATTCTCAAGTAGCAACTCTTTCTTACAAAAGAAGCTCATTTATGTCTTTTCTCACATTTGAAATAGCACAAACAGCTTGTGATTCTGCTGACGAATACCTTTCCTTAGCCACGTTCACTGACATAAACCACTTAACTTTTCCAGATGCCACAGTTCTGGGCCCAAGTCCAGTTGGACTCATGGTTTGGGCTGAAGATGCTGGGCCGTGTGGAAGGGTGGGGGGGTCGGACATGGGCCTTACCCCAGGGGGTTCATTGAGTTCACAGGGAGGGAGTACTGTGAAAACCCAGAGCTTCTGGAGCCGAAAGACTGACAACACAATGCACTGCGAGAGGTATTAAGAGACTGCTGTGGCACAGCCCAGCATTGAGCGTGTGCCCTTCAAATGAGAAGCATGATGAGGCATTTACATCACACTGGCGACTTTCTAAATACAGTTGTGTAGCGAATTGTATTTAGAAAGTCCAAGATGCAGAGCTTTTTTGCTGTTGTAATTTGATTGTAAATAATTCTTTTGACCACTCAGAAAATGAGAGAAATTCACTTGTTGCAAATCAATCATATTCTCCGTAATCCTGATTTGAATGCCAGAGCTGTTTAATATTGGGAGGTTTTGAAATGGTAAAACAACCATGTTTGCCAACAGATTAGTTTGGTTTAATGTCAACAACTTGCCACAAAGGGTGGCTTCTTCAGTTGACAGCCTGACCTCACATGGAGTAGCAGTGACTTTACATGCACTCTCTCTGCTTTTTTTGAAAATTAAAAAAATTATAGACTTGAAAGCATGTTCAACACAAACAAATCAGTAATAATTTGCATCATACAGTGTGCTGTCAATTTTCTAAATGTTATAATAGTTATTCTTGCTGTATGATATTGTTAGCTAGTGAATCAACCTGCATGGCTTTTCTGGTGAAGGTGTTTGACAAAAAAAAAATCTGGTTATGCTAGTTAAGACACCTAGTTTTTGACCAGCTTTCAAACACATATGCTGGTGACAAGCAGTGCCGTTTTTTGTTTTTTTTTAACAAGGCTGTCAAGACTGATTTGCTGGGAGTCAAGCCTTTTATATCCCACAGTGCAGACACACAGTCAAAGTTCATCAGTGACAGAGAATCAAGCCCTGGAGAGGTGTCAGGTGTGAACATGTATGTCCTATGATGATAGGGAACACACTGACTGAACTGATTACTCCACCATTTCACCTCGTTACCTGCCTTTATATGCCCCCTGGATACAAATATACTTGTATGGCCATGTGCTCAGAACATGTCTCAACAGCTCCTGCTTAAAGTGAATCTAGTCAAACAAGGCTTTGTCCACTTCGCACTCTCCAAGGCTGTGCGAGATGATGTCAGTGTTGTGGCATACTTTATCCCCATAAATATCAACACTTACCTACATCAGTTTGCCCCATCAGAATTCTTTCAACATATTTGCATAATAACTAATAAATGATTTGTAGAACACTTAAAAATTAGACTATTTTGAGTTTGTTTAGCTTGCTGCTTCTCCTGCATCCTGTGGTTCCCTGTGGCTGTTTAACTTTTATCTTCTCCTCTGAGCAAATGTATGCAACCTGACAAATATTCATTTCAGCAATGCATTTCATATTTTTGTTTTGGTGTAGGCCCTTAGGACCTAATTCTCATGAAAAGTTATTTCCCAGACACTGTTGAGAATAAATGGCGAGAGATGTAGAATATATCTCTACATGTACACTTTATACAAAGAAAAAAATGTAGCATACAGTCTAGGTATTTTTATTTTGTTGATACTTTTATTTTTTGTCAAACAGAGTACAGGCAAATTAACTTTTGAGAAAATGGGCATTAGCTTTGTTTCTGTGTTTCATTGAAGATTGCTCTCATGCTTAAAATGCTTAATGTGAACTGCTTGTCGAAGATCAATAAGATCAAGACCATGGCATGCTGCCTGATTAGATTTTGACCGTCTGCCAATCAGTTAGCACTACAGGCTCGAATTTCCTTTTTTGGATCAAATGTCAAAAAACAAAAAATTTCTAGAGTTAAATTTGGCTCTTTGACCTTATGGACACTGTGCCACGCTGAATAATGTCTAATAATGAAGTCTTAATACCCCGTGCTGAACTGGTCCTGAAGAGTTCAGTGAGTCCGAATGGTTACGCTGACAAATGAGAAGCAAGCATCTACCGCTCCGCTCCACTCCTGTGGCTACGGGACACCAAATACTTCTGAAATGGCCCATAGGACAGTGTCAATAGAGACCTGAAATTGGCAGCCGTCCTCTCCTGTACCTTGGCAGCCCTCTTCTTATTGCTCTCCTAAAGCATGGAGCGAGATCGGAGCCACCTTCTGACTTGCAGTCATACCACATAACAGCAGGGAAGAGCATGCAACACGCGAGGCAACCCAATTGCCTGCAGCTGCAGTGATTTGCACATTGCATACCTCACAAATTCCTCTTTTTGTACCTCTGAGCAGAATGGATCTAGGGTTGTTCTAATGCTATGCCCTGGCTGGCAGCCTTCACTTGAGGGGTTAGCGCCAGCTGGCCTTGAGGGAGATGGGGGTTCAGAGAGCCAGTTTCATGATGCATTGCTGCTCAGTGGTTCAAAGGTGTTGTGAATAATAGGGGACACTGCAAAGAGGCCTGATCGAGCTTTGATATTTGAAATGCATTTTCAGAGTAGGATATAAGAAGTCCATCCCCACACCCCAGCCTCTCTGTCACCCACAACGACTCAAATGTCTCATGCATTATTCTGAGTGATTTCTTTTGTTGTTTTTGTTCCCAATGTTGACATATTGGGTTTAGCAAGAACGCACAGTACTCTCTCAATAATTGGCATCTTTGTTGCGCTGTCATGAGTGTGTTCAGATCATTCTTATTGGAGCAAGAAGTTCGGATAATGTCCAAGGTAATTGTGCTGCACAGTGTGCGAGAATAGAAGAAAAAGAAGCCAGTTTTACAAGCTTAAATGTGTGTCAAACCGAGATATTGGAAAACTCTTTAAAAAAAAAAAAGAAAAAAAGTCATTAAAACATTTACATATCTCAAAATCAACTATCCTTCCTGGTAATGAAGATAGATTATGATTGTCTATATAAAAATCTGGGTAACACTTTGGATTAGGGAACACTGTTCACTATTAGCTAGTTGCTTATTAACATGCATATTACTAGCACAGAACCTGTTTATTAGTACTTAAGCACATATTAATGCCTTATTCAGCATGACCATATTCTAGATGTATTTCTTCATCCTTTTGCTCATGCAAACTTACATTGACACAATTAAAAATGTGCAGAAGGGTTAATCCATGTGTTTTTCTTTTAACACTTAACAAGCTCCATACATTCTCCTGTAAACTGAACTGTACTATAGATCTATAATTGATGAACTGGTTAATAAAATGAAATCCAGAAATCTTCATCACTTCCCACCCTTTTTGACCAATTAATTTTCACGACTTACACTAGCATTCAGGGTTGCTGCATAAGTACTGTAAAAAAAATACTGAATTTAGATTCATGATATTTCTATTACTTTTTCGCGATTCGTCGACTTTATTAGACTATTCGATTTTTAAAAATCCTCGACTTCATTTTGCTCGTGTCGACTAACCGGCAAAATACCGGAAGTGGCGCATTTCACGGACGAGAATGTATAAAACACATTTTTAGTCTGTTTTCCAAGGCTGCATGATATATTAAACCCATTTAAAAATGATAATTAAGCATAATTGTGAATTCACAAACGCTACGACTTAATTAAATAATTATATGCGATGCAGTTCTAATACAGTATTTATTTAATTTAATAAAGCTTTTTTTTTTAATTAAGCTTTAATTATTTACCTGCGTGTAGGGTTCTATACTCTGTTTTAATGGTTAAATTAAATAGTATTAATCAAAAAGCCTGTCTAATTAATTGAGTTTTACAGTTTTATGTTTACCAAATTCTGTTTTCCATTATTTTCTGCATTCCATTTTAATGGTTCCATTAAATTTTAATAATCAAAAGCATCTCCAATTAATAGATTTTATTAAAAAAAATAAATAAATAAATAAATAAAGTGTTTTTTTTTTCCAGAAATACTGCACATTTACATTTTTCTCCTAAATAAATTCTGGTAAATAATATTTCTGGTAAATACTCCTTTAAAAAGTGTTTTTTGATTATAATTGTATTATTAGTAGACTAGAACACGTGGATATGTTGTCATTCTTACACTATAATACTGAACTTTGATTTCAGTGATTTGGACTATGAGATGGACACTTGCTTCTTGCACTTTATTATTTACTTTTGGATTTCATTTGGTTTAATGAAATATAGTTTAATAAAATATTCTTAAGTAAAATTGTTGTTGTTTTTTTTTTTTTTTGTGCGGAAAATTAATCGTTTAGATTAATCGATAAATTAGTCGACAGAGTAATCGAAATAAAAATAGTCGTTAGTGGCAGCCCTATTTCAGACCTCATATTTCCAGGTTTGTCCATGACCGTGGGAACCCTGTAGTCACTTTTATTCAATAAAAGGCATTGGTTTTTATTAGTTCTAACAAAAGATTTTATGGCTGTATTGTCTGTTAGAAGGCGTGAAAATATTATTGCCCTCTTATTAACGAATTATCTGTAATACTTTGATTGCCATGTTTTTGATGCTCTCTTGGCGTTCCCGGGAAAGTTCTAGGATTTTAATTGCCTCAACACCAACCTAGCAAAGGTCATAATTTGACAAACTACTTATTTTCTGTCAGCATAGCTAATTATATGTTAAGAGAGGGTCATGTGTTCTGATTGCTCCAGTTACATCATAGAAAAATTAGATCAAGGATGCATGTGTCATTAACCCCTCGAAGACCCACTAAAGCAAAATCGCAACACTTGTTTAAAGAAATTCAGTTATATAATTCCAGTAATATAATTCATTTTAAGGCATCATAAACATGTAATGTAAAGGATCATCAGTGCTTATTGTGCAGCTTCTGATCTTCATATATATATATATATATATATATGCACACATATATAGTTCAGATTAAAAAAAAAAACTCAAAGTGCAAAACGTCCAAATCAAGTCATTTATGAAGCTCCATCTCTGTTAGGAGGCAGTAGGCAGCAAAGCATCTAGGTTTTGAAACAGACCCACTGAATGTCACAGCTAACTAAAGTCACACAAGGTAGTCATCATCTACTTGACACCATTGCTAATACTTTGAGAACAAAACAATTTGACCTTTTAATTAAATATTTGACTTGTAATATTTGTACATTCTGTAAATTCCAAGCACGTTTTGTGATAAATGAATACACGCCCCCAAAACAAATGCACTCCATAAATGTAAGTTAAAGCCAAGAACTGTAAATAATTTGTACTTGTACATTTGTACATTAATTACCCCCAACTGGAGTGACATTATGCAAGTTTCGGGTGTTCCAAAATATAAAATATGCTTAAATATTATCTCTTTTTTTTTTATCTAATAAAATGCATGATGTCAAATTTTCAGTAAGGTAAAAGTAGCCATGGAACATTCGAGATCTTGTACACACCTGACTCGGCGAAACTGATTATTTCCGACGTTTCTTCTTGCACCTCGTTGTGGGCAGCATGTCCATCCAAGTTGGGAATTTCAAACCTCCCGTCCTTCCGAACTTTACCCGCGTGAAGTTTGCGCAGCGCCGTTACCATGGCAGCTTTGGGAATGGGATGAGTGATATTTGGTCTCTCTCTCATCTGCAGTCGGTTCAATATGTGCCTTTTAACCGCCTCCAGAAAGTCTGTGTCCATTCGCCCCGAATCATCCGGATGCCCGAGTCCACAAGAAGCACACTGAGACTCCTGAGACACAGTCTCAGCTCCCAGACTACACTGAACTGACAGTATGCAAGCCATTAAACAGGTTACAGAGAGGATGGAAATACTCATTTTCTTAAATAGCGTGTCCATACAACAAACAAATCAGTTCATGAATTCCTACCGTAAAACAATTTGACCTATAAACCGGACAGAGTTGTACTTCCAACAATCTCCTCTGACAGATGTCCATTCATCATCATGCTCGCGGTCACTTTTGTGAGACGTTCACAGAAAGTGTATGTAGCATCGCCCGGTAAACACATTGAGCAGTAATGAGGCCAAGTCGTGAAAACGTATGTCTTAATTGATGCTAGTTGCAAGCGCGAAAACGTCTCCTCATCTCCAAGGAAACTGACAAACTAAAGAATCAAAACAAACCGGTTACTAATCTTGTATTCATTTAAAGGTCAGTGTAGTCAAAAATCTTTCTTGTTTGAAGGCAAAATGTCACTCGTTGTCTCTGCTCGGGCTCCTCTTCTCTCAATAATGGTATTGTGAATTGTGTGTTCGTGCGTATTTCTTCAGCCTCGGGAGGGATGTTGTCCTTTGGTCTTTTCTCCACTCGTTGTCTCTGCTCGGGCTCCTCTTCTCTCAATAATGGTATTGTGAATTGTGTGTGTTCGTGCGTATTTCTTCAGCCTCGGGAGGGATGTTGTCCTTTGGTCTTTTCTATCGTGTAATCACGACACTAAAGCCCCTCGCGCTGAAACTTTTTTATACTTCAAACCACGTGGGACGTTCGACCAACTGCAATCGAGAGAGTATGCGCTAAAACAGGTTAGGCTCTCAAACTCAGAGCACATCAGTAAAAAAAAGAAAAAAGAGCGTGCATTTACCGCTGGATCTTGTACGTGACACGTAACAACCATCTCACATCAACTTTTTTTTTTTGTTTAAATTGCGAAAATACAAGACTGCAGGGCTTTCATAATGCAACAGAAATCCGTTTCCTCCAAAAACAGAACAAAACATTTTTAGCATTTTAGCATAATATAAATTGCCGGTACATGTTGTTTTCACGTCAATTTACACATCGAGTTATTATTATTATTATTATTATTCAATTATTATTATTATTAACTAACAAAGCAAAACCTTTATGGTTTAATGAGAATCATATAGTCAGTCATTTCAGATCAATTTCTGTAATATTTAATTAAATAATGCAGACGGTTTTAAGACGAGTTTTAAGAAATTCACTCAAGTGTCGCTTTGTTTGCCTGTTCATTTCAGTATTAATTAACGTTTTGTACTGCGGATAGGATTGCATTGCCAACTTTTTTTCTGGAGTGATATGGCGCCATCTATCGCTTCAACAAAATAAATACACGTAACATTCTCTAGGCATCTTTCTTCTATGGCCACATCTGTCTTGAGGGGCACATTTTACTTTACGTTTTCATTTTGGGAATCTTTCTTTCTTAAATAAAATCTTAAATAATTTTGAGTATTCATAGATATCATCATTATTATTATTTGAGTCTATATTTAATTATAATATGCAACTTAATGTTTTAATTATTTTGGTTTCTGTATTCATAAATCATTTAAAACGTTAATTTAATAATAATATATCTGCAATTGTAATTCTTGTGTATTTATGCCACCTCTCTGCAGTATTAAAAGGACTGTGTAAGAGCACCTTTTTGCAGAGAATAGGTGCCACTTCTGAAGATACAACCACCATACCAGCTTTGCAGTCTAAAGTGAACAAACCACGACTTCATACAGATTATAAGTATATCTAAACACTTTTTAGCCGTATATTGTTTGTCCAAATATATAACAATTAATTCTCTACAGAATGCAGTTCAATACTATTTTTACTTTTAGTCATTTAGCACAGTGTTTCCAAATAACACTGAGCCAAACACATGCTAAAATAACAACAACTTACTGACACATAGTAAGAAATGGTTATAAAAAACTGAAACAGAAGTGAAACAAGTAGGAAAGAGGAGAAATAAAAAGCGATACTTATCCTTTTTTGATACAACATGAAAATATACTTACTATTTAAAACGGATATGTTGTGTCATGCATTCAGTTCTTCTGTGACTTGGTTGTCACTTGCCATGGGAAAATCTGTTGGACTTAAGTCACATTTTTCATAATGGAACAATTTAATTGGTATATTGTCCATTAATATTGAGGATAAAGGATACTGATGATGGCCTGTGTCTGTTTAGCCTACAGATGTGAACTATGTTTTTCTGCCTTTTATTTCAATATACAAAAAATACTGTGTAGAATAACCCAAATGTGTCAAGGAGATTGTTGGAGTATGCTATGTATCTGTATGATTTGTGCGTTTGTTTGAATTTTTGTGTAGCGTGACTGGCGAAGTCTGTCGCCCTCAAGTGGTAATAAACACTACATTGCATGTAGAAATGTAAGTACAGGTCAATGTATAACAATTAGTGATCTACAAGCATAGTCTCCTTTTTTCAAATTAGTTGTATTTTTGTAATATGTTTTAGCCAAGCTAGTTATATTTAATACAACATTTTAGTTTTCTATCTGTTTTAAACAGATCAAAAAATAAATACAGACTAGAGCTGGTTTTAACATTAGAGCTGCAACAAATTTTTGCTTATTGCTAATGGATTACACATTACTCATGTAATGCATTACTTATTACAGCATTCAAGTGCAGCTATCCTGAAACAATGTGAAGGCAGGAAAATTAAATGTGTTCTGCCAGCAATATACATGGATCTAACAAAACACACACAAAGCAAATTACAAAATGTGACAATGTTTGGATTGATTCCTAGCATGTAATAAAATTCACATGAGCTGTTTTGACCGGTATTTCACACTTAGTTAAGACTCTTTAATATAAAATTTTGATACATAGTAAAATCATGTTAACCAGCATATACAGTATTAAGTACAACTCTTACAGAAACAAATGACATATTCTGTGGAAGATAAAAGCCCTAATTGGTGCTTTTCAGAGTGAATGTGGTTTCTCAGAGTCAAGGTAATAATTACAGACAGTGTAAAAACTTTGTACATGACTGAATTCAATTGTTCTCCCACTGGATATTAGTATTGTTGCTAAGGCCCATTAATTTCTCACAGAGAAAGTAGAATGCACTAAAAACAACAGATTTATGCCACTGTCATATGCCACACTGAAATCACATGCTGTCCTTGTAGAGGTTTACCGCCCAGGACTAACAGCAAGTCAGGCATATGGAGAAACATGGCATCCTCCGTTTCCTCTGCCAGGTCAACACTATTCCGCTTCTCGCTAATAGCCTCCTGGTTCTCAAAGGTGAGACAGCTTCCTTTCAGCTTAGTGTCTTTCAGTGCAATACTAAAATCTGGTGAATGCTTCTTATTGTCCATGTGGAAAGTCTGGAGCTCAATACAGGGCTCTTGCAAAGTGGGGCGGGATGGTTGGCACTTGTTCTTAAATGGTCTTAGCTTGTTATTGATGTTGTGAGAGTTGGGTATTTCCCTTAAATAGACACTGTTTGGGGCCGTTGGCTGGAAACTCTGACCTAGGCCAATGCTGCAGTGATGGATCCGGCACAGAGAGGGGGATCCAGGCAACAATGCTAGCTTCTTCCAAGTTTGTGTTTCCAGGTTGAACCTCCACAAGCTGCTCTGAGGAGAGCTCTGGGTTTCCCCACCACCAAAGATGAGCATGCTGTCCTTAAACAATACAGCAGAGTGACCAACCAGCCTGGGAGGACCTGAACTGCAGAGTAAGGGATCAGAGAAGTGTTAGTGTTTAAGTGCATGTCTGAGGGGAAAAAAATAACAACTATATACCAACATTAAAGGCATAGTTCACTCAAAAATGAAAATATGCTGAAAATGTACCCACCCTCAGGCCATCCAAGATATAGACGAGTTAGTTTCTTCATCAGAACAGATTATGAGAAATCAGTTGCTTACCAATGAATGGGTGCTGTCAGAATGAGCGTTGAAACAGCTGATAAAAGCATTACAATAATCCACAAGTATTGTGAGTAATCCACAAACGGTGTATTTGTAAGAAACAAATTCATCATTAAGATGCTTTTAACTTCAAACCATTGCTTCTCCATCCATAATATTACTTTCTCCTGTGAAAAAGTCTTATCTGAATCAGTAGAGAAATATGCACAAAACAAGCTCCGTTTACAATCCAAAACCGTTCTAAACAAATATATTAGATTTTGAGAGGACAACAGGGGGTGGACTTTCACTGGGGGAAGCGTCATTATGGATTATGAAATGGTATTTTGGTCAGAAGCGCCTTGATCGATTTGTTTCTTACAAACACAAAGCTTTTCACTTCACAAAACATTAAATAATGTACTGGAGTGGTGTGGATTATTGTGATGCTTTTATCAGCTGTTTGGACTCTCATTCTGATGGCATCCATTCACTGCAGAGGATCCACTGGTGAGTAAGTGATGTAACGATAAATTTCTCAAAAGAGAAGAAACAAACTCATCTACATCTTGGATGGTCTGAGGGTGAGTACATTTTCATTTCTGGATGAACTATTCCATTAAACCGTAAGACAGTGCATAATGCTGTAAAGCGACCAACTACAGTTTTTGTTTTTATGTGCCATTTAGGGGTGAGTTAATCAGAAATAGATGATGCTACACTAACAGATAGGCACAGGAAACAACTGTATGACGAAATGCGCTTAGACTTTAGCCTTGTTCAGACTGTCCGTCCAAATCCTCAAATCCTAAATCATATTTAGCAAGTCTGAACAGCAAAAAATTATGTGAAATCCGATTTCTACAAATCCATTTCAAGCCACATTCATATGTGGTTTGAAATCCTATTCATTTTTGGAAATCCGTTTCATTCTGACCGCTCAGATCTGATTTAACGTAGCTTTTTTGTCACTTTCTCTCGTCACGTAAAACGGAAACAAAACGTAAAACATTGTTAGTAGAAAACATGCTTAATGTCTTTTCAGAAACAAGGCTGTGTTATTGCAAAGTAAAAGTCAAGCAGAAAATGACTATATACTGCTAGCCTATGCGCCTCTTTGAGTTTTGAGACTGGAGGAGATGGCAGCATGGAATGAAGCCGCGCATTCCAGCTTCCTACATTTCTGCTGCTGCCAGATGCAATATAATCCAGTGTGACAGCAACGTTGTTACGATGTAAGACAACATCTGTAAACTGTATTGCTGTTGTTGTTTTTAGGCATACCAACACAACGTCATTGCCATAGAAACCAATGCAGATAGTCAGTAAAACGAAAAAGCACCACAGACATACAAATCGGATCGGAATAGATGCGATACACAGTGTGGACAGTCAAACATTTCAATCAGATTCCAATCGGATATGCACAAAAATCGGATTTGGATTGACAGTCTGAACAAGGCTTTTGTGATCTTTCCAAAAAAAATTTAATACACAAAGTTAAGTGGAATATTCTGCTCTGCTTGGGAACATGCTTCCTACTAATTATGTCAAACAAAACTCAGAAATATATTTTAAAGATTAAGCTATAAACTTTACTAAGTTGGGCCAAATCTATTGATTATTTGTATGGCAATCAGGGTTTATGGTATGGATAGATAGATGTTAATAAAGAAAGTAAGAAACTCACTGGAATTTGATGCAACTCCAGGTTTGACTGGCAGAACTCCAGATCCACAGGTCCTTCTGTTCCCTCAGGCCCTGCAGGCCACCATAAAGGTACATAGAGTCCTGGTATGTCATAGCTGAATGACCATGTCTGGGACCAGGCCCACCTTGTACACTGCTTAGGAGCGACCACACCCTAGAATCTAAAATATCATTATTTGGCAAGGTCATTCAGCAATTTGTAAGTTACAGAAATCATACCTGACTTTTCAAATAAATATTTAGTCTGAGAAGATGCTCGCTTACTAAAAAACTTAAATCCCATGGAATGTGATAACACTCACCAAAATCAAATTTCCAGAATTCCTTTGTTGATCCTCTTATATCAATGTATCCACCGTAGACATACATAGATGACCCAAAGATAACAGCACTGTGCCCTTTTCTGTTTGCTGGTGTCACTCCCTACAATAACAGTTCACTATAATAAAAAAATCATCTGTTTCAGCTGTAGGTCTTGTAAAAAAAAAAAAAAAAAGATGTTTACCTGTAAAGTGTCACTCCCTGTTTTCCAGTTAATCCAGCACTCTTTAACTGCAAAGAATATAAAACTGAAGACGTGAATGACAAAGTGGCATATTACTGTGTGGTAAAACACAATCTGCATTCATACAGCACAAGTGCTGCTGTCAATAAAACAAGACATTTGCCAAAACAAATGATACAAAAATTCAGAAAGTTATATATTTTTTTCTATTCCATTTTTTTTTTTAAGTTTTTAACTTAAATTCCATGCATGTAATTTATAATAAAAATTAAAGTACATAAAACTTTTTGTTGAAGCATTGTCTAGTGGACTCAGACATTTTGGACCCCCACTGAACATGCACTGAATAAAAAATACCTGTATCAAATACCCAAAGAGGTGTTTTTGAGTTAGTATATGATGAGTCTTGCATTCCTCCGAAGACATACATAAATCCCTAAGAAGAAAAATGGTAAATGAATTTACTTTTTGGTGCAAAAAATTTACTAAAGTTATATGTGGAAATAATTATGATTATAAAAAACGTATATATATAACCCTCTTAAGGAACATACTATATATAAATATATATTGGGGCAATCATGGCCTAATGGTTAGAGAGTCGGACTTGTAACCCAAAGGTTGCGGGTTCGAGTCTCTGTACCAGCAGTGGGGAGTGAATGTACAGTGCTCTCTTCCACCTTCAATACCAAAAGGTTGAGAGATGCACCGACCCCCCAACTGCTCCCCATTTTTGCCACAGCAAAAATGGCTGCCCACTGCTCTGGGTGTGTGCTCACGTTGTGCGTGTTTGTTCACTACTCACTGCTGTGTGTGTGTGCACATGGATGGGTTAAATGCAGAGCATGCATACCATTCTGAGTATGGGACACCATACTTGGCCACATGTCACATCACTTTTACTTATATATATATATATGAAATATATATATATATTTGCCATATATGGAGGACTTGGAATGTAGAGCATGATTTACATGGACTACTTTTAATAAAAAGTGAAAATGTGATAAACTGACAGTCTCTTGTTTCTCATAACTGGTGAACGCCTTATGCTCAATTGTGAGTTTGTTGCAATTACCTGATATGCTACCATTGTGTGCTCTTCCAGTTCTTCAGGTGCTTCTTCGCTATCATAGGGAAGCTCGGCCCACTTGTCACAGACTACAAACATATAAATTTCCCCTTAATTATAATCAATAAATGCAACAGGAACCAATAACAAGCACAAGTATCCAAAGCAGCAGGTAGCCGCAGATAAATAACAATGACTTACCCACATTATATTTCCAGAAATCTCTCAGTGAGCATTTTTCTCTGCCTCCTAATACGTAAACATGGCCTCTGTAGGCACAAGACGCATGCTTGTAACGATCACATGGTGCAAGGCAGTGCTGAGGCACTGAGGCCCACAAACAAGCACCTCTCCCCTGGTTCATGCTCAGGCTCTGAGAGTCTCATGGGTTAATCTCTGTGAAGAAAAGCAAGCATGAAAAACATAAGGACTACTAATGAAGACCGGTTAACAATAATAGTACAGAAACAGCAGTACAAGAATATTGCGATGAAAGGAATTTTTAGTATGGAGTTTAGTAATACATTAGATAAGAGTTGAGCAAATATTTGACCAGAAAACAAGTATTTCTAGTAAGTAACACTACAGATTTTGGACCATATAATATAATTAAAATTGCTTTTATACAGTTCAATACAAAAGTTATTACGGAAAAACTTACATTTAGACACAATATTGCTATCTTGTCTATTTCGTCCACGGTTTGTGAAGACAGTAGGCCTAGCGCAAATCCGTGAATGAATGTTCCAAAGTGAAATAAACTTCAACGGAATAAAGTTGAATGGAATTGAATTGAATTAAAGTTGAATAAACTTCAACTTTACTGTTCAGTGCACTGATGTCAGACTCATTTTGGATAATAAAGTTTATTGTTAAATTGTTAAATGCCCTGCCTCCATCATTACATATCTTTGTCACATCATTATGTTTAATCACCACATTTGAGTGATCATTGCAAAAAATTTGTTTATGTATATATATTCTGTTTATGTATATACTTTATTCTATATAGGAAGAGTCCAAACTTTTGACTGGTACTGTACTATAATATACACAAAGAATATCCGCCGATATACCTATATCTAGATATACTCCCTAATATCGGTATCAGCCCCAAAAAACCCATATCGGTCGGGCTCTAATGTACATTATGTGGAAAATAATGTGTTTTTTTAACCTTAAACCGCATAAACACATTGCATTACACCAAATACACAACATAATGTTCTTTTTAGCAACGTCATATGACCCCTTTAAGGAGGTCGTCTTCCTGGAGTTAAATGTGACAATTTGTCATGAACTTGTACACTCCGTGACAAGAAGGGTCAGAGCAGTATACTTGAAATTAAGGAGGATATTATACATTTGTTGAATTAAATCTAGGGTGTACACATTTCTGCAATCCTTCATTTAAACAAAATATTTTTATTAAAAATGTTTTTCTTAAGTATATGTTTAATACATTTCAATTGTGCCATCTTTTCCATTTGTATTAGTAATTATTAAGAAAATACATCTTTTGTATGTATTATGTTGTGCACTGTATTTACACACGCACACAAAGTTTACTTGGACGCAGATGTTATTTCCTGTTGTTTACAGAGTACAGACACCAAAAAAAGTTTACCTGTAGTATACAGTATTACTGTTGAAATTTGAATGTGTTTGGTTATGGTTTGATATCTTTATGACATTTCTTAATTGTTTTTTTTTTTAAACAAATGTGAACTGTTTTGAAAATAAATCCCTTCCAACACGTCACAAATCACAAACATAACACAACCAATATGGGATGTTAGGTGACATTTAATGAGGGATTCATCGTATTTAGTCAACATTTAGTAATTTAGTTAACAATTTTACATACACAGTAAAGCAAGAATAGAATACCCTTTGTCGACATAATTTTTCGTTTTTTACTTTTATTTTTATGTTGTTCACCACCGAGATTTTTAACATACATAAGCTTACATCTAACGTTACTATCATTCGCATTTGTAACGGGCATATTAATGTAACTAAGAAGAACGGTTACCAAATCGCTTTACAGTGGTCGCTGAGTATTTACTTGCAGCATACGAAGTTTATATGTGACTTTTCATGGTAAAGAAAGTCCCGAAAGTGTCACATGACCGCGAGGAAGGGCTGCTTCAAACCTTGATAGCAACGAGTGCTGGATGGCGGTCCTCAAAACAGCAGCGCGAGCGTTTGTTATTTGTGCTGATTTTAATATAACTGTTAAGATTGCGTTGTTAGTAAATGTAGTATTAAAGTCCCTTACCGCTCAAAATCGTCGTTGAACATCTGCCCTCCCTTGATCTTCATTGAAAAGATAAGCGATGATGTGAAGTATAGCGGCCAATGCCAGTCCTCGAGAAGGAGGGGCGAAGAAGGATCTTCTGTGGTTTGCTTTTTTCTCAAGAGGGTCTCTGGCTGTAACTGAACACAACGCATTCCCACTTTTAAAACAAAACTCGCGAGCACAGAACACTAACATTTATATATAGGCCTATTGTTTATATAATATTTCTCATAGAATTGATTCATTTTGCAGATGCTTTTATCCGAAGCTGCGTAAAAATTAAAACTTTTTGTGAAAACATTCAAGATGGTTATCAACGCATATTTAAGACGAAAAAAATGATTGATTGAGAGAGAATACTTTTATGCTAGGCTACTTTAAGGCCTCATGTTTACTGTTTCTGTTTGCTGTAATCTCTGAAGCAGCCACAATCTTGTTTTCTAGAATGTTCTGTGATTTAGCCACAGCCCATGTGTGAGCTCAAGCCTTTGAAAATAACATTCTAATGTTTAGTAAACTGTTATCATTTTTCATACACAATTACTGAATCGCATTCAGCTTCGGGAATATTTACTGTATAGCTGCATTTTTAGTGCTCAGTGAACTTTATGATGTCCATTTTCCAAACACCCTGAGGGATTTTTCAAAATAGCAAGTTACTTTAACCACCAACCTGAAGGAAGTACTACTAAACTTATCACATATCTTTGGCCCTACAAGAAGAAACAGTGTTCTAGATTACGTTTATGTTTTAGGTTATGTCTACACCAAAGCAGAATACATATACAGTCTTCCTATAGTATACTGAGTTTTGTCCAATTTTTGTTTACTTGCACACCAGCCACTCTAGAAATGAAAGAAATTGCTTACTACAGTCAGAATATTTACAAACATGTTGAAACCTGCCATGTGTGAGGACTTAGATGAGTATGTGCCATTTCATTAAGAATATGTTGTTGCAACACAAGTACTCAACAACCAAGAGGACTTGGCTAAATACAGACGTTTACTTATGATGCCTATACAGAGCCACTCCACTGTGGATGATTAAGAGGGTCATCCACCTGGCCCTCTCACTTTTTTCATAATTAAGACTCTTATGTCCAGTGCTTAATTTGTAAATTGCGAGGTCCCGGAACAAAGCGGGGAAACGGATCCGGCATGTGATTAGAGGAGGGAGAGGTAGTGACCCCAGTGGATGAATCGCATACAGGTTTGGAACGACATGAGGGTGAATAAAGGATGACAGAATTTTCATTTTTCAGTGAACTATCCCTTTTTAAGGGATTGTTCACTCAAAAATGCTAATTCTCTCATCACTTACTCACCCTCATGCCATCCCTGATGTATCCATCTCAAAATCCATCTCTGTAAGTCCATGTAATGCAAGTGGATAGGTCCCTCAAAGTTGACACTTTAAAAACCACACAAAGAAAGCACAACACTAATCTATGTGACCCCAGTGGATGAATCAATGTCTTCTGAAGCAAAACTATAGATATGTGTGAGAAAAATACTAATATTTTAAACATTTCAAATTATAAACCATTGCTTCCGGCCAACTGTCAAGCATGGGTTCATGAGTTTACGCTTGACGTAAATGTCAGCACATTGTGAAGCCTGACCTTGTTGTGAATCTCGGCTGAGAAGTGATGAGAACACACACCGTCACTTCTGGCACGAGTTTCACAACGTGCTTAAATCATGTCAAATTAACCTAAGTAAACATTTTATAAACTTATTAAACTTAATAAACAGATTAAAGTGCAAAAGAATTATAAAGAACAATAGGTAACACTTTACAATAAAGACTCATTAGTTAACCTTATAGTAGACCGGTAAATAGATTGGGGAGATAGACCAGTTGAGAGGGGCAGTGTTTGAAATTTTAACCAGTTGATGGAAAAGTATTCTTAAAATGTTTTCTAAAAATCTAAATTTGTAATAGAGTTATTCACAGTAATTTTGAAGTGCCCACTATAACAATACCAAGCATGTTCGTTATTGTGATATAACGTATTACCCAATATCGGTATGTCTATTTTCCATATATTTACATCGAATGAAGAAAAAAATATTTTTAGTTTCCTCTCCTTAAGATATTTTTCTAAGTTTTCATATCTTAATACAGTTAAAGGAATAGTTCACTCAAAATTTAAACTTCTGTCGTCATTACTCACTCTCAGGTTGTTACAGACAAAGATGACTTTCGTTCATCTTTGGAAAATAAAGCTAAAGCTTTTATTCACATACAAACATTAATCATCCAAATACATAGAGTACATCAAATCAAAGTAAACAGAATCTCACACATGCTTGAGAACCAATTAGGTGTCTTAAACCACTCGAATCATATGGATTATTTTAACAATGTCTTTATGCACCTTTTGAAGCTAAAAGACTGGTTGCCTGGATAGACAAAAATGAAGACAGAATATTAATTTTCATTTGTGTTCTAATAATGAATCAGTTTTATGGGTTTTTAACAACATAAGATTTTCATTTTGGCTGAATTAATGCTTTAAAAAGTCTTTACAAAGAAAATGAAATGGTCTATTATTTCTTTTATGTGAAGGTTCATTGCGAGGATCAATCCTGTCAACAGCACGTGCTCTGCAAAATTCCAGATCAGCAAAAGAAGTGGGAAGATGGTGCAAAGGAGAAACTCTGGCCTGAACCCTCATGTGTCCTCCTTTATTAAGGAGTTTGTGTATTTCAGCTGGCAGCTTTGAAAAAAATAGTCCATGCTTCTTGTGTGTAACAAAAGTTTTAGTTCTTTTTGAAGATTCACTATCGTCACTATTCACTATTATCATAATATGTTGTGCTTAGGATAAATGTTAAGATTTTTTTCTAACTATAATAGTTAGAATAGTATGTAATGTATATACTAGTTTATAACAATGTTTTGTTTGAGTCTTAACTGAATCTGAAAATATTAAAATTTTATTGCAAGGATTACAATTGAACAATTAAAAAATTAAAAGTTATACAGTTGTCAATGCTTATTTTCATTTAAATTATATATTTTTTTTTCTTGTATTTCAATGTTACTAGAGAAAAGACCATAAAATTATCGTATATTTTACAGTAAAAATTTTAAAAGTACAGTACACATACTGTAAATACATTTACAGCAAGTTAAATTGTACTGTAAATATTAATACAGTATTTTTACTGCAAGTTTAATTTACAGTAAGTTACTGGCGAACTGCTGCCAGTAAGTTACTGGAATTTCTACAGGAAATGTTTAACAGTGTAACGGACCATTTGCGCAATGGAGGACCAGCTTACGTGATTAACAGCTGAAAATATTAAAATTTTATTGCAAGGATTACAATTGAACAATTAAAAAATTAAAAGTTATACAGTTGTCAATGCTTATTTTCATTTAAATTATATATTTTTTTTTCTTGTATTTCAATGTTACTAGAGAAAAGACCATAAAATTATCGTATATTTTACAGTAAAAATTTTAAAAGTACAGTACACATACTGTAAATACATTTACAGCAAGTTAAATGGTACTGTAAATATTAATACAGTATTTTTACTGTAAGTTTAGTTTACAGTAAGTTACTGGCGAACTGCTGCCAGTAAGTTACTGGAATTTCTACAGGAAATGTTTAACAGTGTAACGGAGCATTTGCGCAATGGAGGACCAGCTTACGTGATTAACAGCGTGCATCATTTTACAGGTCATGAAAAAACGTGAAAAGTCTAGAAATTATAAAACCGCAATTCCCAGGCCTGGAAAAGTCATGGATTTTTTTTCCTCAAATCTCTAAATAGAATTATGTTTAATCAGCTTTCGAGTTAAAAATTAGGGAAATTCCTGCAAACATTTATTCATGTAGGTTAGATGAGTAAATAAATCCACACAAACTATCAGATTAAATCAGTCATCTGAAAACAGCATGAGTGATTTAGATGTACCGCGTCTTCTCTCACTCGCTCTCAAAGCGGCTTCACAACAGGGCATCTCGTTTGCACTAGCCTACTGCACGCTGCGATACAAGGTTTTCGCTCAGATTTCGGGACAGTCGACAGAATTCGAGTCATTGTTGCATCGTCACAAAACTGTATTATTTGCACATCTTTTTAAATTGAAGCCATTCCATACTGCGTGCTCCAAAGGGGGTTTTCTGTGAGCTCACAGTCACGTCCAAAGCTGGCGCATATAAAGCCGCCTCGCGAGTACCATATTGAGTTATTTTTCGCAGCTTGTTGCGCTTACGCGGCCAAATACGCACAAAATTACATCAAAATGGCTGTCCTGGCGAGTATCGTCGTAAGCACAGTCGGTTTTGTCTTAACTAAATGTAAACATCTGAGAAAAAACGCATGTGTATCAGTATTGGATCCGAGCATTCGGGTTTGTGAGAGCAGCCACATCACGTCTCTTTGCCCGCTCAATTTAAAATGTAAATGTAGAAAACTCATAATAGAAGTTTTTCATGAAATATATGCACGCTATAGGTCAACACGAACGTCTTTCATTGGCGCGTGAGGAGGGGATCTGTCAAATGAGGTGCAGGATCAGATTTTGGACAAATAGGTTGTTTGCAATCACGTGATTCTGATGACGCGCGAAATGCAGCTGGAGGGCAGGAAGTGATTTTTCTCCGTAGCAATCACTAGCAGAAACTCCAAATGCCTGTGTTTTGCATTGTTTATGGATGCTCAAATCGGACAAACCGAGAAACCACAAGGAGCTTTTATCGTGTACAAAAATGTGTTGCTCATAAGGGGGGAAAATTCAAGAATTTGAATGAAAAACGCTGGAAAAAGTGGCTTGTAAACCTGCGTCTGCGGTAGGGAGGAGCGAAGCCGGATAATGCTCGTGTGTGCAAATGGTTATAAATGGTGCAAATATAAGATAATAATATATTAAAATATTAATAAAGAAATATATAAATAGATACAGGGTGACACTGTCAGAATTCACTGAATGCTAAACGCCACACATAGACACGATGTAAATAAGATATTATTTGCAGTTCACGGAATCGTGAGATTGCGATAAATTGAAGTGAGTGAGCTTTTTAGTGATTAACGTTAGATGAAAGCGCTATTTTCTCGCTTTCTAGGCAGGCTATAATCGATTCAGAATTTAAATAAAAGTTGTTTTA